AAAATGTTCTGTGAAGAATGAGGAAATGGAAATTAATTTAGTTTATATATGGGATAATGAATTAAAAGGGTAATATATTTTTCGATTTGTACACATTTGGTCACTGAGTTTTTTTCGTCTATATTTACGTCTCCAACTTGTTAAACTGTACACATTCAGTCATTATGAAAGATTACTTCAGGTTAGCCGGGAAAAATGACTTAATAAGGTAATATATTTCTCATTTTGTACTCATTTAGTCCTTCGTATTGTTGTACACATTTAGTCCTTGATATTTTTTTTGTTTCAAAATAAGTCATTTTTGTTTTTGTATTCATTCAGTACTCATGAATGATTTCTTTTGGTTTTTCTCACAACATCTTACGTGGAACAATCATTGATGAGGTGTTTGGGCTATTGATGCTTATGTCCATTGCGATCTCGAAAGCTTGGTTGCGTAGGTCTTGTGGTTTGGCTTAGGTTTTGTGTTCTGAACGTCGTAACTTCTTCATATGATATCAGATTTTAACGATCTTTATATCCACATGTTCGTTTTTTTAGTCTACTACAACTTTCGTTAAGACTACTAGAGTTAAAATGTAATATATTTTTACTTACGATTTTATAAAAAAAAAACATCCATACATGCATTCATAAAAAATGTATGGATATAAAAATCATAATTAAAAATATATTACTTTTTAACGGAAGTAATCTAAACGAAAGTTGTAGTAGACTAAACTACGAACAGATGGATATAAAGATCGTTAAAATCCGAGATCATATGAAGAAGTTATGACATTCAGAACACATGACCAAAGCAACCAAGTAGTCGAGATCGCGATGTACATAACTATCAAAAGCCCCAAACACCTCATTAATGATTGTCCCACGTAAGATGTCATGAGAAAAACCTAAATAAATCATTCATAAGTACTGAATGAGTACAAAAACAAAAATGACTTATTTTGCAATAAAAAAATATTAAGGACTAAATGTGTTAAAAAATATTATGGTCTAAATGTGTACAATGTGAGAAATATATTACCCTATTAAGTCATTTTTACCGGCTAACCTGGAGTAGTCGATCATACATACGCAGATCCATTATGGATCCCAGGGTATCCCGGGATACCCCTCAAAAGTTTTTTAGTAGTGTTAATTTTTTCGGAAAATTTTGTTTTATGTTGCAGTTTATATCGGAAAATTTTGGCTACCCTAAAATGTTTCAAGTTATTTCTAAATGGTCCAAAATACAAACTAGCCCAAATGGTCCAAATTTTTTAAGCCCACATTAATTAATTTATTGAAACAAAGAGGTATTAAGCCCAATAGTTTAATAAAAAAAAAGGACGTAATATGTGAATGTGATCGTCGATTTCTCTCAATTGTCGAAGTCGACTCATCTTCTGTCATTTCCTACGATCGTCGACATCAGCACATCTTGTCATCACAACCCTTCTCAATGGTCGTCGCCTGCGGCCTACCGGAGGGAGAATTCTGACCACCTCCTCCTCGACTCCTACATCACAATGAAACAAGTTAGTATAACCAAAATACTCAATCCTATTATGTATTTAGGTTAATTCAAATTCCAATTTTTTGTCATTACGTTTGAAAAATTAGAAATTAACAATTAACTTTGTTAAATTAGGGACTTAGGGTTAATACTTAATGATTATTTGTTGTTGAAACTTGAAATCAAGTTATAGTTGATATATTTTTATTATAGATTGCTATTTGTTCAAATTTGTTGTTGAAACTTGGAATCAAGATTATAGTTGATATATCTTGATAATTGATAATTTGACTCTAGGTTGTTATTTGTTGATTGTTGTTGAAACTTGAAATCAAGTTTATAGTTCATATATTTTGATTGTAGGTTGCTATTAAAAAAATTTTCAAAAGACATTTATATGTTGGAGAAAACAATAGTGAAGGAACTTCCAAAAAAACAGGGCTAATGAAAGTAATCAAGTTCCACAAACTAATCAACCAATGCCAAAACCACAAGAAACATAATCTAATGAACCTATTCAAGTTCCACAAACTAATCAACCAATGCCAAAACCAAAAGTGACACAATCTTTTTGATTTGAATGATCTTCCTTCGGACCCGGGGGATAAGCCAAAAAATTACATCTTATAATCATAATCAAAGGGATGAAATAAGGAGCTAATAAGCCAAGACGTTTTGTTGTGAAATGGTTTACTGGTTTTTTCCATGGTTAGAGATGGTAGGGGAACAAGGTGGAAGAGATGCATTTATAACCGAAGGCTTTGATAATTGGAGTAAAAAAGGTTCATTCCGGAAACATATGGGTAATATTCAAAGTTATCCTCATAAGGCCCAAGAAAAGTGTGATTTGCTATTGAGAAAAAACCAATCAATTGGTGAAGCCTTGCATAAGCAAACGAAACTTAAGAAATGTAATTATGAAATTCGATTACGTACTACAATCTGTAGTTGTAGATTTTTATTGAAAAATGCATTACCATTTCATGGACATGATGAGACGGAAAAGTCTAATAATAAAAGACTTTTTATTGAAGTCCTATCTTTGATTAGAGAAGATAACGAGAAGATTTTTAAAGTTGCTTTACAAAATTCTCCAAAAAATGAACAGTTGACTTCTCCAACGATTCAAAAAGATATTGTCGATTGCTTTTCAAAAGAGATAATCAAGTCTATATGTGATGAAATTGGTAAAAATGTGTTTGCTATTTTAGTTGATGAGTCTAGTGATGTTTCCAAAAAAGAGCAAATGGCTATAGTTTTGAGATATGTTGATAGACTTAGGATTGTAAAGGAAAGATTTATTGGAGTTGTTTACGTGTTGGATACATCTTCTTTGACTCTTAAAGCCGCCATCGATACCGTATTTTCCAACAATAACTTGAGTTTGGCTCCGGTGAGAAATCATAAAATATTAATTCCTTTATATTTTAATACGATATTAGTTTTATTTTTATTTCTTATAGTTTTTTTTATTAATTTTTTTAAATATATAGGTGAAGGGGCAAGGTTATGATGGAGCAAGTAATATGAGTGGTGCATTCAACGGTTTGAAATCTTTGATTTTAAATGAAAACAGTTCCGCATATTATATACATTGTTTTGCACACAAACTTCAATTAGTGGTTATGGCGGTTGCAAAGAAACATGATGACGTTAAAGAATTCTTTGAACAACTAGCTTTGGTGGTTACTGTCGTTTGTGGGACTTGTAAGAGAAAATATATGATACTGGAGATGCAAAAAGAAAGAGTGGCATCTGAAATTGGTATTGGTGAAACTGAACCAGGAAGAGGGTTAAATCAAGAGATTTCTCTTGTTCAAGCTGGAGATAGTAGATGAGGTTCACATTTTAGAACAATTGTAAGTTTGGTGAATTTGTTTGCAGAAGTTGTTGCGATAGTTAAATATGTCAAAGATGAGGGATCTAATTTATCTAACCGTAATCAAGCAAAGTGTATTTTGTCATATTTCAAGACACTTGATTTCATGTTTCTTTTACACTTGATGTTGGAAATTCTATGCCTCACAGTTACCTTGTCAAAGCATCTTAAAAAAAAGATCAAAATATTCTGGAAGTGGCTTCGTTACTAAAACAGACAAAGAAAGCATTGCTGGTTTTTAGAAAAGATGGGTCTCCATAAATTTTGAAGAAGGTATGTGCTTTTTGTGAAAAGTAGAGTATTGGAATTGTAAGCATGTCGGAATATTATGTTACCCTATGCAAGCGTAGGACCAATAAGACTAATCAACATCATTTTGAAGTTGTGATTTTTAACACAATTTTGGATATGCAAATTTAAGAATTTAGGGATAGATTTAGTGAAGTTGGCACGGAGTTGATGGAGAACATAGTGGCTTTGAGTCATTGTGACTCATTTTCTAGTTTTGTTAAAGCAAAGTTGTTAAAGGTAAGCGAGATATACAAAAACGATTTTGACGATTCAGAAATGGCGCAACTTAATGGGCAACTTGATATCTATTATCACTCTTTGCTCCATGATGAGAGATTTTTCAACTTGAAGGGAATTGCAGACCTCTCTCGTTTGTTGGTGGAAACCGAGAAGCACCTCTCTTTTCCTTTGGTTTATAGATTATTAAAACTAACTTTGGTTTCGCCCGTCGCAACTGCAACCGTTGAACGGTGTTTTTCTACAATGAAGTTCTTGACCAATTTGCGTAATAGAATAGGTGACGATTTTATGAATGATGCTTTGATTTGTAGTGTAGAAAAGAAAACACTAGAGAATGTTAAGACTGAAAATGTAATTACTCGCTTTCTTAAAATGAAAGAAGGAAGAGGTGAACTTTAAAATGTAACTTTGTTATGGAAGTTGAACTTTATATCTAATGAAATTGCGGCTTTTTTTTCTTATTCTATATTACACAAAAAAAAATCAGGATACCCCTTTACTGTGACCCTGGCTCCACCGCTGCGGTTATAAGGACTGAATGTGTACAGTTTAACAAGTTGAAAAGGGTAAATATGGACGATAAAAAAATTAGTGTTCAAATGTATAAATAAAAAAATATATTACCCGTTTAAGTCATTATCCCTTTATATACGGGTGACCACAACCGCGGCACAGCCCATGAGATTTTTGCAGCCAACTTCTTTTTTTTCCCAGTGAACCAAGCCAAAATGATGTTGTTTTATTATTTTTTATGAATAATACATTTTCTGGAGGCCATTTTGATTTTCGTAGATTGTGGCCTCCAAAAACTCTTACCATTTGGATGATTTTGTTAACATTTGTTTATTTTTGGAAAATGGTTTGTGAGATTAGATTTAAAAGTCATAAAAGGTGCCCATATACATAAAATCCAGACCAATCAAAAGCCGAATGAGATTGGCATCCTAGCAGTACTATTTTGATATCAACATACAAAATAGTGAAATACTGTTTGTACAATGTGAACCGTATTTCAACTCATCATACACCAAGTATACAAAAGAAATCTGCTTGCTTTTGATAGAAATTGCTAAGAAGTGGAAACCCAGGACTTTAATACAGTAATTTTATGAGTTTTTCCCGGGTAAAGTCCTGTTCCACCATGTTCAGAAATATGGCATTTCCACATGGGACCATTGAAGAATCTTTTGTGAAACTCGCAATGACGAGTGGATTGTCTATCTTTTCACAGGCAACAGCAAGAGCATCAACTAAACAGTCTTCCTTTACACCCTTGATTAACCCCTCAGCAAATGTAGAAGGCAGTATAGATGCAAGATGAGGGCATCCCAAAGAATCAAGCAGATGATGATAGTGTTCTCCCGAGTTTACACAGATCATGGAAAGAAGAACAGTTAATCGCAAAACCAAAATGTCATACAACTCCTTTGATTTTGTGATCCATTCCAATAAATCATCCCGGGAATTCAACATTTTCATAACCATTGAAACCAAAGAAAGAGGGATATCCTTCATGATGTCCAAAGATATAACATGGCCAACATCTGAACCCACACTCCGTTCCTCATAAGTAAGCCATTCAACGCAAGAAGATCTTGTCATGAAAAAGTGACCACGAAAGCAAAATGACAAGATTAGAAGACGCTCTATAAGATATAAGAAGCAAGTAGGTGACATACAGTCATCGGCTCTCAGCCAACCTGCAGAAAACGTTGTCTCTTTCAGTACATTATGTAAACTTATAGCTAAGTCCACATTTGTGGAACTTGATTTATCATCCTTGAGTTTATCAAACAAAGCTCTCCAGTTCAGGGAAGAGCAATATCTAACTTTTCTCTTAGTATCATCATTGAAGTCAATCATTCGGTATGCTAGCTTTATCATTGCTATTCTCCCAAGCTGCCCACATGTTAGATCTTTGGGTGATTTGCTGTTTATGTTGATTGCTTCTTTAAGCATACTCAGAAATGTTTCATTTCCCCTCAGAGATATCATTTCTTTTGACTGGGCGATATTCCAGTTGATGTGAAACACATTGATCATGAACTCATCCACGAAAAATTTGAAAGATTGATCGATAATCCAACCAGCACGATGCCACCCATTCGGAAGCTTGCATTTCTGAAGTGATTTTGTAACTTTAAAATAATTTGCAAGTATTTTCATACGTTGATGAATGGAGAATTTTTTCACAGTTGAATAAGCATGAATAGACTGAAGCTTCAACACTTTTTCGGAAACATACAGTAGTTCCGAACACCAATATCGTGAAGCCACAGAAGAAAATTCACAAGCATCAATGATGTGGAAATGTCTGTTCCTACGCATAACAGGATTCATATTTTTCACCCAATGGGCTTCAGCATTGAGCACAACATAGCTTCCTTTCTCATCTCCATCGTAACTCCTTATCCCAAAATAATTGGAAATGAAATCCGTGTATATTTTACTATCTTTGCCACAGTGATCCCATGTAGAGCACTGGTTGATTAGTTCCCTTATCAGTTCCTTCCAATAACTCCAAAAGTAAATCAAACCTTCAATGGAGACAACATTGTTGGAAAACTCGCTTTCTAAATGCTTAAGTTTCACATCATCAACCCATGTTTCAATACTAGCATTGACACTGCAATCCGAACCGAGGTAAACATCAAGAATTCTTCGGGAAAGCAGATAGTGTATCATAAGGCTTTTTTCTTTTGGTGTTTCACTCAAATATCTCCACATGTCATATAAGCTGATATCTACACTTGATAAAATGCTTATCTCTGTACGCACCAATGCAGAATCCTTCGAAGAAGGATCACAATAATCCACATACAAGTTCGCATCATGAAGGAGCTTGTTTTTCTGTTTAAAGTGCTTTAGTGGCCATGCTCGATTCCCATGAGCCCAAAGAGATCCAAAGAAGACATACCAAAGTCTGCTCAATGCTGCTTCAATTGATTGATTATCTTCGTTACCACAGTTTGCTGCTTCTACAAACTTTCCACATATTTCTAGCAGTATCTGAAGCTCATTTATACGGTTTACAGACTTGAAAAAGGAACGCATTAGGTGAAGCAAATCTTTTTCAATTTTGTCTACTTCATGAGTCGTCTTCACATGCTTCAAACTCATGGCTAAAGAATTTTTTTTGTAACAATCTATGAACTCAAGGCCTTTTATTAATAACTCTTCTTGATTTTTTCCTTCGGACAAAATGCTCGCCTCTTTGCACACAAACTGATGGAAGAAATTAGAGTCACTTTTGGCGATTACAACAGCCTCATGTAGTAATTCATCCTTCTGTCCAAAAGGTTCATCCGTGCTTTGAAGAACCACAGAGTTCATGAAGACATGCCACAGGATTAGAAGTGATGATTCCTTGTGAACTCTAACCATGCGAGTAAGGTCAGCTTTCGGATTTATTTTAAGCCTTGAGACCTTTGCAGCCTCTTCAAAGTTACCCCATTCTATTTCCAGCAATATTAATTCATTAAAGCACCTATTTTTTGTTAAGAAGATCCTCATCTCATCCCTGGAATGAAAAGAGCGAACAAATGTCATCATACTCTTCAAATCTTTGACACCTAGATAGTAAAGAGCACATTTGTCAAGCACCTTTGCAGCTTCTTGAATGTTACCCCATTCTACTTCCAGGGATATAAGTTCATCAAAGCATCTCTTTTTTGTTAAGAATTTCCGCATCTCATCCTTTGAGTGAAAAGAACTAACAAATTTCATCATTCTTTTCAAATCCTTGACACCAAAATAGTAAAGAGCACCTTTTCTCAAAAACTCTTGCTCGGCAACCCCACAACCTCCCCATTGCTCTATGAACCGAATACCCATTTCAAATAAATTTCCATCAGAGCAAGCAGAAAGACACTTTGCAAAAGCTCCAACCTTCTCATATTCCTCAGCTGCACGTTTACATGATTTTGAATGTGAATATCAGATAAAACAAAAAATAAAACAAACCACAAGTAACAGACGTACACCACAAGGACTAAGGTACAAGAAGAGAAACAAAAAAAAAATTGTGGTTGGCACAATAAATGTAATCATACTAAGAAACACATGAGAATATGTATGTATGTATGTATGGACATTTTACTGTTGGGGACCCAAATCTTCAACGTTTTTCTCCATTCGGTTACGAATGTTCATAATTATGTAGTGGGCTAATATTTCTTAAAGACTTAAATCGTGTATCCATGTAAATCTGATATGGAAGAGATAGTTTGTTGACCTCAAAAATTGAATCGATTTGACAAAAGTGTAGAAAGAAAGTAAAAGATTACCAGCTGTTTTATAATCCTCCATCTCATAGAAGCACTCAGCAGCCAACATATGCTTTCCAAGAGACTGAAATAGCTCAGCAGCTTCCTTAAAGACCTTCTTCCTTTCTACCTCTGAAGTGTGGATGCCTTCAGCAATTGCACGTAGTTGATATGCTTCTGCCAATCTTTCAGAATCCTTGTCCTCAGCCTTCATGAAGCACATCTTTGCCATCCCAAAGTTATTCTCATAATATAACTGCAATTAAATAAAATAGATATCATTAAAAACCTCAACACAAACAAACTTCTCAATGCACAGAATTTGGTCATACATCAGACCTTTACGCCACGTGCTTTCCACTCGTCTTTACTGCTTGGAATTTTCATTTCTTCAGCAAAGGAAGCATTCAAATGTTTGACTTCAACAAGGCTTAACTTTTTCCAGTAATCAAAGATTGGTTGAGAGAAACCTGTAGTTTCAGAAATCCATAATCTCTGTCTTGTTCGAGTGATCGCTACATACAACTGCTTCAGTTCACTGCATAAAACAACGTGCTTTTCCATATCGAAAGATGAACACATTACAGTAGAGCTCATGTTGAGGTCTTTTTCCTTCATATACTCATAAATGATTCGCCATTCATTTGAGAAAGATGATGTAGTGAAAAAGTCATATAACAATACGTCCTACAAAAACATGAAATATAGAGTTGAGTGCATCATAAAGTTAGGCTTTTGTGGTTGTACAAATAATATTCATTTTAAGATTTGAAAACAAATAAAAGATTAATTAGTATTTTACCTGAAATTCTAATCCTTTAGACTCCATGATTGTTAGAACAAGGGCATTCTTGCCAACAATATTGACTACCTTCTCTTTAAGGTATTCATCCCAAACTAAAACGACTTGCTCAGCACCAAATCCAATGACTTTCTGATCACTACCAACTTTATTGGTTCCAAATATTGTTTTAATAGCATTATCACTTGTATCAGTTTCAAGAAGAACAGGTAGTTCCCCACTTATTCGACTAGTTTCTGGCCTCAAAGCATCAACAAACAAAGGAAAAAACTGGAAAAGAAGGTCGATAACACTTTGGGCCAAATTTAAAACTCCAGTATGTGTGCGAAAGTTCTGGCTTAATTGAAATATCCTGGACATTGTTCCCTTTTCTGAACCCAAAAGGAAGTGGCTGAAAAACAGCAACCTTATATCTTCGAATCTGAATCCAATACCCTTTGCTATAGCCTGGGCTGTATCTCCACAAAAAGCATAGCCCTCCTGAACATTTGTACAAACGTATTTGAAAAGCAAAATCTGCCTCATTGTAAGATCTTGAACTTCATCAATATATACATAATCCATATAATCTCCCTTGTACCCTTCAAATTCAAGTCTTTGATGAAGATCATTCACTAAATCAGCCAAATCAAAATTTTCTTTTTCCAGTTTTATCTTCTCATACTGAACAAATATGGAATAGATCATTTCTCTCTTTTGTGCATCCAAAATGGAAGTTCGGGCATCACAAAGAGCAACATAATCTTCTCTAGAGAGGATCCCATTTGGAGCCTTTCCTGCCATTAATCCACCCTTTATAACAGACATTATTTCAGTATAAACTGTGGAGGTGTCAAAACTTTTTCTCAGCTTATTGTTGAAGTGATGCCAGTAAAGTGAACAAAATCTCTCATAAGTAACATCCTTGAACCTCATATATTGTTCCAAAACACTGAGTCTTGAGTTACTTGTGTTATTGCCACAAAGGAGCTGCCTAACACAAGGAAATCTCTCAAAGTATGATCTACCAACTGTTCCATCAAGCATTAGTAGGAATCTATGGAATGTTATGATAAGTGGATATTTGTTCTGGGGAAGATGAATAAAGTGATCTGGAATATCTTCAGACAACATCATTTTATCAATATCATCAGTAACCCCTGAGCTGCTTTTGGATGATGAACTACCACATGTCAATCTGGATATTTCAAAAAGTCATCATCAGAGATGCATTATATAATACACATGAACACAGATGGAAACTAAGTAACATTATATTCATCTAAGTGGTGTAATTACACCATAAGTAACTTCATTAAAGCCAGTTTGGATTGGTAGTTGCAGTAAAGTACTGATGTTAAAAAAACTTCTTCCCATATTTGATTTAAGAGTATGAGTAAAAAAACAAATCTAAGATGACATAACTTAATTAAATAAAAGGTTGCTACTATTTGCATACAACTTGACTTACATACCTATTAAATTCACCAACTTGCTGCTTCACTGCATGGCAAAGTCTTGGACTGAGAGTAACAAAAAGTTGATGTAGCACATCTTGCTTGATCACCTCCTCATTGATTTCCATGTTTTCATGAAATCCTTCAGATGCTAAATGGTGAAGCTGTTCATTTCGGAATAATTTTGTAGTTAACACTGTAGTTTTTCCAGTTCCAGATCTTCCCAGAATGAAGCTGCTTTTGTTAAAAGAAACAACATCCTTTTCTTGTTCAGTGAGCTCAATAGGAAGCCCAAGAACCCCACCATCACATCCAGAGATCATACTATTTACTACTCCATGTGAAAACTGGTAGAACTTCATTAGTGTCAAACTTTCACGCACCTTCACATTTTCAACACCTTCATCCACAAACATTTCCTCACAAGAGTTTGTATTCTGAAACTTATACTGAACAATTTCAGTAGTCGCAGGCCAGTTCAACGGAAACTCAGAACCCCTGAGAATTCGAAAAACAAAATTAATTAGAAAGTTTGTACGCATATAATAGATTAATTTGATGAGAGTAACAGTGATATTTTTCATACTTTTGAACACATCTTGCCTTGCAATAGTTAATATACTCCCGAGTATACATCTTGATGATTTGTTCTAATCGTTTTATTAACTCTGTGATCTCATGAAACGGCAGTATGTCCCAAACTTTCAAGGCTTGGACATAATGTGAATCCTTAACAATGTCTATAGTACATAGAAGATGCAATCCTTGAACTTTGAATTCTCTCATAAGATCAGAATATGGGCTTCCACTAACAGAAGCTGTAGTCGAACTCCGTTTCGGCCTCCACCCAGTAGAAAGCTTTAGCAGCATCAGAAGTACTAGTTTTTTGGTCTCCAATGACTCAATGTTTGAAAATGATGTTATAAACTTGCTGCTAAAGAAAACCTAGACAAAGAAAATGGAATGCATGGTGAACTAAAGGTACAGAACAACATATCTAAAAGCCAAGCTTTCATTTGACCAACTATTGAAACGATAAAAGATTTTTTGAATGATCTTCTATGATATATATAGAATTACTAACAGGAAAACTTTGGTGCTTCGCACTTTAACTAACAAGAAAGCCGAATTACCTTCCATGTGGTATTTTGGAAGAGTGAGGTCTCCCCAATAAGTAACTCGTCAAGCTCATGAAGATCTTTCTTGACTTCAACTACGACCTTTGCGAGCTCCTTTTGTTCATCCGCCAAAAAGAAACATTGACGAGCCTTAGCCTCGAGAATTAATGGTTCCCAGTACGACCCACCCTTCAGGAGCGCCCTTTCATCTCCTAGAATCCATAGACAGCGTCTGAAAAAGCATCAGAATGTTAATGTCATGCAATCACTATAGTCCAACAACAGTTATCAGAAAAGGAAGAAAAATATTTAAACATGCTCTCATAGATCCCACACCTTTCCGATTTGAAATAGTCATTAGTGTTCAGTTGTCGACTTCTCTCGAGCTCGTTGAATTCATCTCCATCAGCTCCCACTGTTGATATTATCGTAACATCTTCTGCACCCTCGTAATCTTGAAAAAACCGGACTTTTACCTTTAAAAGCTCATTGTTTTTGTAGTGCATTTCAACTTTCTGCTGCAGATATTGAACTTGAGCAGGGTGTGGAGATAACACGGCAATGCTAATCTTATGCTTTGATGACGCACATTCTGTAACAGAATGGAACAAGTTCACAACTTGTTAGCTTGGATATTATAAGAAACGATGTTCTCTATCATGCCTTCTCGAGTTTTTAGATACATAGTTTCATACCTTTATAGATTAACTGCAGTATCCGCAAAGTAACCGCAACCTCAATCATGTTTTGCATGCCATTTTCAGCATCTACAACCTCTTTTCCAGAAAAAATGTTGATGAATGAAAATGAACCAAACATTGCACCAGGAATATAGCATTTTTGTCTAACATTAACAGTGTAACTCGAAGATAATTCCATTTCTAACTTCACGAAATTGAAAGAAACAACTTCGTTACTAATGATTCTAAGGTATCTCTCTCACTACGACTTCGATTAAAGATTTACGTTAACGTAGCAGAAGTGGGTTAGATGGAGTGAAAGAAGCTCATCGATTACTCTGCTCTAAGAAACCCTGCATCTGTTTCCATCTTAAGAGATAAATGAACCGTTTTACGGTTTCCAATTTCAATCATCTCCTATAACGTATCTCACCAAGCTTCGTTGTGTAGGCTTAATAATTGAATGTTGGGAATGACAAATTTCTGAGGTGCTAATAGTTTTCTTCTTGATGCTAGTATATTTTTATTTTTATTAGTATTACTTATCAGCATAAAGAAAAAAAGAGTTTTGTTACTTAAGTATGATTAATATTGGCATGGGCTAACCATACCTCTTTACCTTTTACTAATACCCCTAATCATTATATTAACTTTTTCTTTAATTGATTAAAATGATTTTGTAATAATTTATCTTTTTTGACTATAATGATTAAGTGATTATTTGACTTTTAATACTAATAAATAGTTTTTCTTAGGGGTAATTTTAAATACACAAATAATCGTGGGATATTGATTGATTAATTATTTTTACTTGTTATTGTTTATTTTAATATTAAATAACGTCCAAGCTATAAGATTAATAGAATTTTCAATTACGCCCCTTTAATTTCCAATGAAGTTTCACTTGACAGATTTTACTTATTAAGTTTTTAATATATAGTGAATTCATTTTATTATAGTTTTAGATAACTTATATAAGATAACGTTCAATGTTAATGAAAATTAAATATAACTATATCGTTTTCTGGTTTATGAAAAATAATACCAATTCCTTGCATGTGTCAATAAAAACTTAAATCAATAAAATATTTTTATATTTTAAATTTATAAAACAAAAAACGTTTGTTATATATTATTTACATGCATCTAATAAAATTATTTTATATAAAAGAATTATATTTAACACACGACAATAATAAAATAATATTTCAACCCAACGGATAATAAAAAAGTTCAAATACATTCCCACTTAATCGATATGTATCCAAGGTGCTATAGAACTACGAGGCCTAAGTTGATTGTAAAGTTGATTGTATAATTCAAAACGAGGCCAAGACATAGTTTCCCATGTAGATGTTGACGGGCTTCTATCGGCATTCCAATACATTGTGGTAGGAGGCATTGGGTAATTTCCTTTCAAAAACACCGACATATAATGGATGCAATTTACAAATGCCAACGTAATGGCTCGGTGGGGTTGAAACTCTTCGGGACCTCTCCAAAGAGGGAAGCATGTCGTAGATTGTTCGTGGCTTAAACAATGAACGATCACACCAAACTTGTTGGAAATCAAGTAACCAGTCAAAGGCATATGCAACCAATATTGAGAAGGTGCAGGTGTTTCAAACCAACGCAATGAATTGTATACCTCGTTGAACCCGTCAGTAAAAACTCTATGGTATACGTAATATTGACTCTCTAACTCTTCAAGCAATTGTTTTCGAATATAAAGCCACTGGTCTTCATTGTACCCTAGACAAACAGCTATCGCTCGAAACCCACAATTTCCATCACCTTCTACATCATGTATATCGTCAATGTAATCATGAAATATATCTAGAATACTTCTCAGTAGGAATGGATCATGGCTCGGTGGTTCATCATTTAAGTCAGGTTCTTTATTTAAATCGAACCCAACAAACTCTGATGTGGTTGAGAAGTTGTGTCCACTAGGAGCTTGATTTGGAGGATTGACTTTCTTTTTCTGGTGTTTCTTCACACTTGGTCGTCCACGAGTGTGTTTTTGAACTGTAGGCTCTCCAATGTCAGTTTTTTGCGGATCATATATCTCTTGTAGCTTTCTCATATAAGCTTGTTTCCCGGCTTTTGATTGCTTCTTGTAGCTTTCTTTAATTTTTTCGACTATATCATCACACAAAATATTGTCGTCTACTACAGGTGTCGTATCTGAAATATCAAGCTTCCTCCAAAAGATGTCTATTGAATCCAAGGGTATATCTTCACCTGAATTGAAATATAAAATAATTATTTATATAACATTTTAGAAATTATATGTATGTGGTAGTTGAACGTACGAACCTGAATTCGAGTAGACAGAAAGTATGCAAGCACATGGTAACCCACAACTGTTACGAAGTTTGCAACCACAATTCGAGGAGTCTGAATTTAGATCATTCAACCTTTGAAACTCTCCTAATATTATATCTAAAGCTTCGTTTGAAACAAAACCACGCAGTAACCGAAAGCACTTCAAATTGTGGTGATTGTAGCGATAACATCTGCTGTTTTCAAAACTTTCGTTGATCGAAGTTACCTGTGATTGCACAATTTCAGTAATATGTTGCACAAATATATCCAGATTACAATTTGGGGAGTCCAGAAATTTCTTTAACTTGGAATGTGCACTCTCAACTCTATTGGATGTGCGGTTTCCAAAATTTAGATGTTGATCAACCCAAACCGACACAAACATTTCTTTGTACTTATTTAACCATGTATCCTCTACGTATCTCAAAGCACCTGCGAAATAAAATAAGTTAACAAATAAGTACATAAATAGTAATATGAAGGTTTTGATTTAAAACATAGTCAACAAACAAGCTTACGTGGAACATTGATTGAAGTCGTTCATAGTTTTTCGTGTATGCCATCCATGTTGGAGACTCAACTAGTAACATCCATTGTATTCTAAAGGACTCCCGATCATTTTTCAACTTGATAATTTTGTTGCAATGTTTCAAAATGTTTTGCTCAATATGCCATCTACACAGTAATCGGGCAGCATCCGGAAAAACTGTTTCACATGCATTGATGAGTGCCAACTCTCTATCTGTGATTATTACACGTGGGAGCATGCAATTCTCAAGAGTTGACCTTAGACAATTTAACACCCAAGTATAGTTGGCCTGATTTTCTCTATGTATGAAGGCAAAACCTATAGAGAATGTCTTTTGAGTTGAGGTCACACCAACTATTTGAACAAGCGGCTTATTATATTTGTTCGTTTTGTATGTGGCATCTATTATCAACACATGTGGAAATGCACGCCATATCTTCCAAGATGTTGGATGAACAAAAAATAAATTCTCCAACTCATTTGAAGCACCTGTAGTAAGCTCATATATATAATTATTGTTGTGCAAAATGGACATAAGAACCTGCATTGGAGTTTTTCCTGCTTTCTCGTGCATGCGAATCTTTTGTTGTGCATTATATATTGTTTTAATTATCGACACATTGTTTTCGTTTTGTTCCTTCAATGTTGACAAGATATGGCGTGGCGCTACATGCTTTCTTGTTAAATTTGCCACCAAACGATTCTCATCAACAGATAACCGTCGTGCAAACGGATGACCCTCCATATGGTGTGCATGTGCATGATTATGTTCATCACATTTTACCCTTAGCGTCCATCGATCAGATACTTTTGAATACTTTCCTTGCAATTCAAATTTACAATTAGTCTTTCTGCTTCCAGATACTCTACTTGTGTTAGTAGCTTTATACTCTCCACTACGATCACATGCAAGTATGACTTTATACACGAATCCGTTCACATATGCTTTTGATCTTTTAGTGATAATGACATATCCTAAAGAGCGTGTTGTGTTTTGTGTCCATTCAAACAATTCCTCACGAGACCTGAACATCTGAAATTAAATTTCAAGTGTTTTAGTATATATGTTTTACTTCAAAGCATCACAATTTAGTATAAGTATATAACCTGATCGGTGGAAAATGCTGATTCTTTTGCGAGCAGACAAGTTGATTCCAAACAACTTAAACATATCTATATAAAAATTCACAAAAAACATATTATTATAATATTATAAATACAAAAACCACATACTAATATATTAATATTAATATTTCTTGATGCGTCAAAAGATCTCCTTGCCTTTTTCTCCATCGTAGACAAACATATCATAATTAAGACTTTGAACAATTAACTTTATTTATATAATAAGAACAATATATATAATAGTTTTATTACAACTTTTGCATTTGTTTACATGTATAATATTTTACCATAAAATCCATATTTATTTATATGATTGGCAAAGAATAAACTTTGCAATAAACCCATTCGTATTTTTTTTACTTTAAAACAATAAATGCAACAAATATATCATTACAACAAAAGATATTTATAAATAACTTATCTAATATGGTTTTTTATGTACGTAATTAGAAAATAATTTATTAAAATAAATAAGTAAATGCAAAAAATATAAAAGATATCATTCAGGGGTTTAAAATAGAATATCTTCTTAAACCGAAGGACTCTTAATATAAATATATAGGATATAAGAATGCTTACTTTCATTAAACCCTAGAAACAAAAAACAGGCGTCAAGAGTAAGAGTGATGCAAGATGCAATTTCCAGCGACCAGGTGATTTCCGGCGGCTGTTTCAAGCGGTTTCTTCTCCGATTTTTTCAGGTCCGTTGACGATGTTCATAGCTATTGGTCCGACGTTTCAACGACGGTCTTTCTCACGGTGGTCTTTATCACGATCTCTTCTCCGACGAACTAGGTGTTCGGATGGTCTTTCCCACGTTTTCTCTTTCTCTCTTTCTATCTTTCCGGCGATGATTGTCAACGGTGGTTAACGATGATTTGCAATGGTAAAAGGTGTTTTATGATGGTAATTGGTGGTTCCGGTGGTCTTTTTATGATCTCTATTTCTCTCGTTTTGTCTCCGGCTTGGTTTGGCCACCACCGGTTAGTTGACAGTTCGTTGGTTAAATCTGGTTCCACTGTTGAACAGTTTTTTATGATTATTGTTCATATATTGCTTGAATGGTTTTTTAATGTTTATATAAATTGTCGGTTGTTTATTGGTTGTTTAAATGAATTAATGGTGATCATAGTTCAATGTAACTATATTTTGTAAATTGTTCAAAATCTAATTATTTAGTGTTTTTAGAAACAAAACACGGTCTTCAAAACATAAAT